TTGATAATAAAATTAAAGGCTGCTCAGAGTAGAGACATAACTATCACAAAACAAAAGGTCAGTTAGAAATGGAATGAGAATGTGTATACACACATATTTAAATATATATATCTTATGAGGAATGCTCAAAGGAAAACACAAGAAATTTCACACTGAACTTCTGTTTGGGCTGGGTTTTGAGCAACAAATGTGAAAAGGAAAAGCAAGTATTTATATAATTTTACACTTTAGGAAATTCAGGCTGAGAGAGGATGGTGGCAAAGGTCATATACACCTACAGAGTGAAAATGAATGGGTTCACTTTGGGCAGAATGGACATGTTAACAGTATTAAGTTTTCCAATCCATGGACACAAGATGTCTTTCCATTTATTTGTGTCTTCTTTCATCCAATTTTTGTAGTTTACAGTGTACAAGTCTTTCACCTCCTTAGGTAAATGTATTCCTAAGTATTTTATTCTTTTTGGTGCTCTTGTAAATGGGATTATTTTCCTAATTTCCTTTTCATATAGTTTGCTGTTCCTATATAGAAATGCAACTGATTTTTATATGTTGATTTTGTATCCTGCAACTTTGTTGAATTGATATATTTGTTCTAACAGTTTTTTTATAGGATCATGTCATCTGCAAACAGGGACAGTTTTACCTCTTTCTTTCCAGTTTGGATGCCTTTTATTTCTTTTTCTTGCCTAACTGATCTGGCCAGGACTTCTGGTACTATGCTGAATAGAAATGGTGAAAGTGGGCACATCTGCCTTGTTCCTGATCTTAGAGGAAAATTTTTCACTTGTTCACATTTGAGTATGATATTAGCTGTGGGCTTGTCATATATGGCCTTTATTATATCAGGTAATTTTCTTTTATGAGTGAATAATCTCTAGAGATCTGCTGTACAACATTGTACCTATAGTCAACAATAATATATACTTAAAATTTATTAAAAGGGTAGATCTATACTATATTTCTTTCCACAATAAAAGAAAAAAAGTGAATGAGTCCAATGTTAGATCTATTCCTTTTTCCTCTTCCTTTTTCATTAATACCATATTTATTACCTCTTGCCTGAGCTACTATATTTACCTCCTAACTGGTCTTGCCTCCTTTCAAATCTATTCTACAAACTCTTCCCAAATAATTTTCCTAAAACTTAATTTATAACTAGATTACTCTTCTTTTTTTTTAAATTTATTTATTTTTGGCTGCATTGGGTCTTCGTTGCTGCGCGCGGGCTTTCTCTAGTTGCAGCGAGCAGGAGCTACTCTTCGCTGTGGTGTGCGGGCTTCTCATTGCGGTGGCTTCTCTTGTTGCAGAGCACGGGCTCTAGGCATGTGGGCTTCAGTAGTTGTGGCACACGGGCTTAGTTGCTCCACTGCATGTGGGATCTTCCTGGACCAGGGCTCGAACCCATGTTGCCTGCATTGGCAGGCAGATTCTTAACCACTGTGCCACCAGGGAAGCCCATAGATTACTGTTCTGTTCAGAAAACTTTAATGGCTCCCTAAGGCTTAAGAAATCAAATCCAAATTCTTTAGCCTAGTATTCAAGCTCCTCTCCCCAAAGACTGATGCCACGTTTCCTTTCCAGAATTACTTCCCACTAACATGGGCAGCTTCACTGACATGCAATCTGTGGAGTCACACAAGGCTCCACACTTAAAAGGATCCTGTACTTGTCTTATTGCTATTATCTCCTATTGCTGTCTTGAAAATGTTAATTTTTAAACAAGAGATCTTATGTTTTCATTTCACACTGGGCCTGCAAATTATATAGTCAGTCCTGCCCATTATACCAAAGAAACCCTATACTTTCTCACCTCACTACCATGCCATACTATTTTCTTCCATCTGAAACAACCACCCTGATCTCTGCCTGCCAAAATTCTACTTACCTTTTAAATACTCACTTTATCTACATCACACTCAAAATGATAAATTACCTGCAAATTAAGACCACAAGGAGATATCATTTTGTACGCATGACAGCCTTCTTAATTAGGGTTCTGGGATATGAAGCTCTAATGCCCTAAGACAGGGGTCAGCAAGCTTTCTTGTAAAAGGCTGGAGAGTAAATATTTTAGACTTTGTGGGCCATACAGTCTCTGTTGCAGTGACTCAACTCTGCAATTGTAGTGTGAAAGCAGCTACAGATAATAAGTAAACAAATGAACATGGCTGTATTTCTTAAAACTTTATTTATGGACACTAAGATATAAATTTAATATAATGTTCATGTGTCACAAGTATTATTTTTCTTTGATTTTTTTCCAGTCACTTGAACTAGAACTATTCTTGGCTCCAAGTGTGGAGGGCCAGATTTGGCTCATGGGCCGTAGTTTGCCAAGCCCTCCCTAAGACATCCATGATATGACTTTACTTTTCTTCTGTACATCTAGAATGGTACTAGTCACCTACCAACTTTGGTAGAATTGAGAAAATAATCACTCAAACCATGTTCTACAGGTTTAATTCTCTCATAGAACTCCTGTTGAGAATGGCTGCATTAGAATGACAAAACTTAGAATTAAAAAAAAAAAAAACTAAGGATAAGGATATGAAGCAATAAGAACTCTTATACATGGGTAGAGTGCAAATTGATATAACCATTTTGGAAGATGATTAGGCATTATTGGGGTAGATAATCTGTGAGGGGCCTTTAGTGTCTGCATGTTTTTGCTGGGTATGTAAATATAAGCCCCTGATTACTCTTTATCCGGGCCATTTTTCACTTGCAATAAACATTGAGGAATGAGGCAAGCAGGCTTGTTACTACTAATTAACAAGTGTTCTTCCCTTCAGTGTTTCTCTCTGTTAACATAACCAATTGAATGTACATTCACCTAGGTTTACTTATGTTATTCCCACACCCCTGCGGAATTTGGGGGCCAGAGGAATGAACAAGAACCTGAAACTTTGGTTACTGCTTTTGCCACAAAATTTTAAAAATCTTTTGTTTCTGATCCAGGCATCTTTTATCTTCTGCCAGCATTAATAAAACGGTAATAGGTTAGCTTGTTAGGTTGCAAGTAGAGTAAAAAGACCTTTCACAGTTCTTGACAGGCATTATCTATTAAAGTTGAAAATACACATAAATTATAACCCAGCAATTCCAATCCTAAATATATACTCAAAAGAAATGCATGCAATGTGTACTAGGAGACTTGTATAAGAATGTTCATAGAAGCATTTTTTTTTACTTTATTCCTCATACTTTTGTTTAAATTTTTTTTTTTAATAAATTTATTTATTTTATTTATTTATTTTTGGCTTCGTTGGGTCTTTGTTGCTGCGCATGGGCTTTCTCTAGTTGCAGCGAGCAGGGCCTACTCCTCATTGTGGTGCACGGGCTTCACATTGCAGTGTAATGCAATGTGCAGTGGAATGTGAAGTAGAATCTCAAGTTTTCTGTAAATCTAAAACTGTTCTAAAAAATAAAGTTTATTAAAAAAAAAATCCTACCTCTCCTTCAAGGCCCATTAGAAATTCTGCCTCCTGCAAGAAACTATCTCTGTCTCCCTCAAACTAAATGAGACCTCTCCTTTCTCAGAATCCACCTTACAACACCTGTTAAGCACTTCTCATATTTTGCCCCATAAAATTATTTATAAATGTCGTTCATTTCCCCTAGATCATAATCTCCTTAATGTCAACCAAATTTATAATCTCCATGTTACTTAATACAAAATTAGTTTAAAGCAAAATTTAGAAACCAACTAATCCAAGTGAAAGTAACGTTCGGTGATGGTGAGCTAATATTTCCTAAGGCAATTTTATTCTCCTTTTGAACAATTCTAATAATTAGAAAGTTCTCCCTGCTGGGTTGAAACCAGCTGCTCTATAATTTCCTCATTCATTGCATGAATGAATGAATGACAAGTTAACAGCTCTATGAGAGCAGAGACACCTGTTTTATCCAATACTGTACCTCCAACACCTGGCACAAAGTAGATACTCAAACTTTGTTTATGAATGAGTAAATGGCTGTCTGGGGGAAGGACTGAAATTTTTATTTCCTCCCATACAACTTAATTTACTGTCTAGCTAATAACAATCCACCTGATAATACATCCACAAAACATACAAGCAAACCTCATTTTATTTTGCTTCCCTTTATTGTGATTTGCAGATATTGTGGTTTTTGTTTGTTTTGATTTTTTTTGACAAATTGAAGGTTTGTGGCAACCCTGCCTTGTCAGACTATGATTAGCTTTTTTCTTTTTTATAAATATATTTTATTTATTTATTTTTGGCTGCCTTGGGTCTTCGTTACTGCGCACGGGCTTTTGCTAGCTGTGGTGAGTGGGGACTACTCTTTGTTGTGGTGCATGGTCTTCTCATTGCAGTGGTTTATCTTGTTGTGGATCATGGGCTCTAGGCTCACGGGCTTCAGTAGTTGTGGCATGCGGGCTCAGTAGTTGTGGCACACAGGCTTAGTTGCTCCGCGGCATGTGGGAATTTTCCCGGACCAGGGCTCGAACCCGTGTCCCCTGCATTGGCAGGAGGATTCTTAACCACTGCGCCACCAGGGAAGCCCAGACTATGATTACCTTTTGAAAAACTACTTTAAAATGAAAGTACATACATTATTTTTTTAGATACAAAATGCTACTGCACACTTAACAGACTACAGTATAGTATGAAATAACTTTAATATGCACCAGGAAACAAAAAAACTTCATGTAACTCGCTTTATTGCTAAGGCCTGGAACCAAACCCTGCAATATCTCCAAGGCATACCTGTACAGTCATTTAAATCCTCACACCCCTCTATACAGGTTTAATAAACAATTTTAACTAATTTAACTAAACTTAGAAGGTTAACTAATTTTATGCACTAATAAGTGAGAAAGTAATTGGGGTCGCAGACCCCCAGAAGCGTACTATTAACGACTGAGAACGCGTCAGATAAACAGGGCTGAGGCAGCAAGGTTCCCTCAATCTCTCTGGGGAAACGCTCTTAGACTAGCAACCAAGCCCCACTCATCGCTGATTGTGAGCCACTCACCACACCTCCAGGTGGCCCGTTCCCTCATCTGCAAATCAGGCTGGACCCAATGGCCTCTTAACGCCTTTGCCAGGTCCAAGGCCCTAATATTCTGGGCTTCCGTCATTACGGTTTTGCCTTTCCCAAGTTTTCAAATTTAAATAAATTTAACATTGCACAACAACCTCCTGTACATCGCTAACCCGTTCAGTCTCCTCCGTCATCAAGTGGGAGTCTGGCCAACAGTGGTTTTCACGGCCTCTTCGATTCTTTTTTTTTTTTTTGCGGTACGCGGGCCTCTCACTGTTGTGGCCTCCCCCGTGGCGGAGCACAGGCTCCGGACGCGCAGGCTCAGCGGCCATGGCTCACGGGCCCAGCTGCTCCGCGGCACGTGGGTTCCTCCCGGACCGGGTCACGAACCCTTGTACCCTGCATCGGCAGGCGTCCGGACTCTCAACCACTGCGCCACCAGGGAAGCCCCTCTTCGATTGTTTTTAGGACTTTCTCCCGCTCTCGGGAGTGGGAGGAGGGAAGAGGTTACGAACACCGCCCGAAGTCAAATATAAATCCGAGGGGTGGAAGGCAGAGCTTCGGAAAAGGAGGCACTTCTACAATCCTACATGAAAAACCAAAGAAAACCCCTTTCCACACGATTCCCAAAGGAAGAAAAGGCTGGGGAGGATCCTTTCTCACCCGCCAAAGCCCTGAGGTAAAGATCTGATCTCGGCACGTGTGAGGAAAAACCACACTGGAAAAGAACCAAGAAAGAAAAACGCGAAGAACCACGTTCTCGGCAGCCTCATCCCCAAGACTGCAAACACACCTGATCAGCACGGCGTCCAGAACAGCTCCGCTGCTCCCACACTTCCAGAGCCTTCCGCGAGAAGCTCCGCGGGCGGAGCCGGAAGCCCAGGCGTGTTCTCTGCGCTCGGCTGCCTCGGCCCCGTCTGCTCGCAGGGCTTCTGCGCAGCCGCAGACCCCGTGAACCACGGGCCCGTGTGCCCCGCTCTTTAGAGCGTAAAGTTTGCTCCAACCGGTAAGAGATTAAGAAAAAGACGAGGGATTTTTCATGTTAGATTGAGTTGCCTGCAGTTGATTTTTCACAATTTTTTTAAATTCAGGCTCAATTCTTGTAGTACCACTGTGAACGTAAAATCAAGGTGACCTCTGGTTTATCCAAATTATGGTAAAAATATATTTTCATTAATGGCCGTAAATGTAACTTATAGAGGCCTTTGTATTTCCTCTTGGGACTCCATTTTTTTCAGACCTAACTGAAGCTCAGCAAGTTATTAGGCACTGGTGTAAAAATTCAAAAGTAAAGAAAAAGAAAAGCCACCATTTACCTAGAGCCTAATGGCTAGAATGCAAAACTATTTGTGTCTTACTTTATAAAATATGGGGGAGAGTGCTCCAGGAAAAAGTCCTTTGGTGCACACTTGTAATGTGGATTAATTATTCCGAGGTAGCCCTTTTGTAAGTGTGGAGTTTCCTATAACAGATATTATAATTCGGTGCCCTCTTTTGCTGCCTCTGGACAGTTTGTTAAGTCATGGCAAAACTTATTACAAGAGTCAGGACCTGGCTGGAGCCACACCTTCTGGGTTTGAGAGCTCAAGGAATTGAGTCAGCAGCTGGTGTGGGCCGGAGGACTCTCCTTGGAAGGTCCTCATGTTTCAGAGCAGGCTAATAGCAAAGGGGTAGGCGAGACATCCAAGATTAAGCATCGGAGGGTCTCCGTGGGCTGAGTGCAGGACAGCAGTTCCCTCTCCAACTGTGATACTACAAGGAGACTTGGCTGGGTTGAGAGCAGAGACTCCAGTTGTGGTAGGGAACCTGGCAAGTGCAAAGAAGGGTCCATTCTGGGGAGGGTACTGAAGTTCTAGGCAACTCACCAGAGTAGGGAGGGAAAGGAAAACTAATCTTATTGAGAACCTACTCTGTACCAGGTACTATACCAGCTGCTTTACATACATGATTCTATTAATATTCTCCATAGATGCTGTAAAATTTATGTTATTCTAATTTTAAAAATGAGAAAACTGGAGCTCATAGAGATTAAGTTATTGGGCATGATGATATAGCTAGTGAGAAAAGGGCTGGGCTTCAAACCTAAGTTGTCTAGGCCACATCCCTACCTCTACAGCTTTTTCTTAAAAGCCAGTTAGGCTTTTTAAAATTTCCACCATGCCGCAGAAATTGCTCTTGTCAAGGTCCTTGCTAAATTCAGCAGTTTCAATACTAATTTTACTTGGTCAATCAGTATCATTTGTTGCAGTTGATCACTTCCTCCTCTTGGAAACACGTTCTCCTTTGGCTTTCCCACACCATGCTCTCATGGTTTTCCTCTAACCTCACAGGCTACTTTGCAACATCCGTTATTGTTTTTCCCTCAATACCCAACCTCTTGGAAGCACCCCAAGTGCAATCCTTGGACCTCTTTTCTTATCTGGCTATATGGTTGACCCTTGAACTGCATGGGTCCATTTATACATGAACTTTTTTCAATAAATATACTGGAAATCTTTTTGGAGATTTGTGACAATTTGAAGAAACTCACAAACTGTTAGCCTAGAAATATTGAAAAAATTAAGAAAAAATTAGGCATGTCATGAATGCATAAAATATATGTAAATATTAGTCTATCTTTACATAGACATGAGTGATATTTAATGTAAAATTAATAGTGTTAGTTTTCTTACTGTTCTATAACTTTGCTTTCAGAGTTATATTACCGTACAGTATGCCTCTTTCTCATAGCTGGAGAAACTGCATATCAGCCTATTATCACAGGTAAGTGTGTCTTTTTAAGTAACAATGTTTCCAGTATTGTATTATGACTATGACTGCAATAATGTATGCCATAAACATTTTTTAATGATTCATTCATTAGCGTATAGGCTAGGTTACTGTGAAGCAATTGTATCAAAAACATTAGGCTACCATAGAACAATCATATTGCTGCTTCTTTACCAATGCATGAATTGTTATACTTGTAAATAAAAATTATTTTTCACGTTATCTTTTCAGTTTTGATGTCTAGTGTTAGTAATACATACAACATCCACAGTGTTTTGTATCATGTAAGACAATATTGATGTAGGTACTGACAGGTGACTCATCTTGTAAACAGATGATGGAAACTTGCTGTATCAATAAATGCTGTACAGTACTGTAAATGTGTTTTCTCATGATTTACTAAATAATATTTTCTCTAGCTTACTTTATGGTAAGAATACAATATATTATATAAAATATATGTTAATCGACTGTTCATGTTATTGGTAAGGCTTCCTGTCAACAGTAGGCTATTAGTAGTTAAGTTTTGGGGGAGTCAAAAGTTATGCACAGATTTTTTTTTCTTTACTATATTTTATATATTTATTATTTTTTTTTAATATCTTTATTGGAGATAAAGATATTTCTTTACAATGGTGTGTTAGTTTCTGCTTTATAACAAAGTGAATCAGCTACACATATACATATATCCCATTATCTCCTCCCTCTTGAGTCTCCCTATGCACAGATTTTTGATTGTGCCCCTAACCCCTGTGTTGTTCAAGGGTCAACTGTATTCACTGTTGTGATCTCATGAACTCGTGGCTTTAGATGTAATCTGTATGCTGACAAATCCCAAATTTCTATCTCCAGACTTAACTTTTCTCCTGAACTCCAGATTGGTATATACAACTGCCTATTTAATATTTCCACTAACAGACATCTCAAATTTCACATGGCAAGACAACTTTTAATTTCCACCCTGCAAAGCTGTACCACCCAGAGTCTTCCCCATCTCTGTTAATAACTCACATTTTACCTATTGTTAGATTTAAATACCTTGCCTCTCATTTACCCCATCTCACCCATCAGGAAATCTTGTTGCCTGTCCCTTCAAAATATATCCAGAGCCTGACCACCTCCCTTGTCTTAACCACTATCAACTCTCACCTGGATTATTGCATTAGCCTCTTAACAGGTCTCCTTGTTTATGTATGCCTTGCTCCCGAAAGTATTTTTCAACATAGCAACCAGGGTAATCCTCTTAAAACAGAAGATGGATTTTGTCTCCTCTCTGCTTAAAATCCTCTAATGGCTCTCAGCTTTCTCAGAATTAAAGATAAAGTCCTTATGATGACCTACAAGGCACTATGTGATCCAGTTTCCCTATTACCTAGCCAACCTTTTCTACTACTCTCTCTCACCTGCTTCTACTGTTCCAGCTACATTGGCCCCCTTCCTGCTTCTCATACCTGCCAGGCATGCTCCTGCCTCAAGGCTTTTGCATCAGCTTTTCTGTCTGAAGTGCTCTCCCCCGAGATATATTCATAACTCACTCTCCTCTTCAAATCTTAGCTGTCAACTTTCCAGTAAAGCCCACCCACCCTGACTTCCTCATTTAAAATTGGAACCACTCTTGATCTCTCTTAGCCTGCTCTATGTTTTTTTAATAGCATTTGCCACCTTCTAACATACTATATAATGTGTGTACTTATTATGTTTATTGTTTATAGCTGTTCTCCTCTCACTGGGATGTAAACTCCACAAGAAAAGGAATTTTTGTCTCTTTTGTTCGCTGATGAATCTCTTTCATCTAGAACAATGTCTGGTACCCATTAAGCACTAACAAATATAGTCAAATACTGAAGTGTCATTCACTCTCACTTATAAAGTTCCCTCGGGCTTATGTCTCAATGATAACATATCAGACTTCATTGAATTTTAGTAGCCATGAGATGAATAGTACCAATGGAGGCCTCTATTTTTATTAAAATTCTTACCCTTATTACTTTTAGGCTTGAACTAATTTATTTCAAGCTTTGGTCTTCTGGGTTAGGGCTAACTAGTTTGTCTGAGAGATATTTGCTAGAAATAAAAGTTCAACAGTTAATCCTGATAATGAGTTTTTATTCAGGAGGCTTATGTATTACCACAATTCAGTCATTTATGGAACAGATAAAGCTGTTTAAGTTGTCCTTTTAAGGGTGTCTACAAGATTCAGACCCAAATATATTGAAACTGAATACACAAATATATTTGGCAACTCTATAACAGCCCAACTCCCTGATTCACTACTCTCTAGAATGCCTACAAAGAAATATGTTCAATTTACATTTCTGTTTAGTGTCA